GGTACAAATGGAGCATGAAGGAGAATTCACCTGCCACGCTCAGCACCCCCTGGGCTCCCAGAGCATCTCTCTGAGCCTCTCTGTGCACTGTGAGTTTGAGGCACCTGGAGCCAGAACCCCAAGGTTGGAAAGAGGGGAGGAACCCCCGCTGAGCCCTGTCCTCCCTCCACAGACCCCCCACAGCTGCTGGGCCCCTCCTGCTCCTGGGAGGCCCAGGGGCTGCACTGCAGCTGCTGTTCCCGTGCCCAGCCAGCCCCCTCTCTGAGCTGGTGGCTCAGGGAGGGGCTGCAGGAGGGGACCGGCAGCCAGGGCTCCTTCACGGCCACGAACAGCTCAGATGGGCCCTGGGCCAACAGCTCCCTGAGCCTCCATGGGGGGCTCAACTCCAGCCTCTGGCTCAGCTGCGAGGCCCGGAATGCCTATGGGGCCCAGAGTAGCACCGTCCTGCTACTGCCAGGTCAGGGGGCTGCCTGGCTGCTGAGGTTCCATTGTGGGGCAGAACCTGGGTTGGGCACAGGCTGGGGTCCTGTGGCCTCTGGATGTAGACAGAATACAATGGATGATCCTGACCTGGGCCAATGTGGCAGGATTGCTAGGCAACACAGTGGTTGCAATGGCAGTGGGAAGCCTGGATGCCCAGTGGGAATGGGCTCCTGTGGAGGGCAATGCTCATCTGACCCTCCCTCCTGCAGACAGGAAGGGACCCCTCTCAGCAGCATTCTTTAATGGAGTGGTTCTGGGAATCGCCATCATGACTGTCTTCCTCTTCCTCACCCTGGTCATGTAAGTGAGGGGGAGCAATGGGGTGTAGGGTGTAGGCCCAGGAAAAGGGAAGGTTCAACCATGCCCACCAATGTGGGATGCATTTCCTCAGTGTGAAGATTCTATGGAAGAAGCATACTCAGGCAGAGAACCGAAGGCCCAGGCTTTCACGAAGCAGCACAATCTTGGATTACATCAACGTGGTCCCTAAGGTGGGTCCCCTGGTGAATGGCCAGTCCGTGCAGCCACTCTCTCTCTTCTCCACCATCTTGGAGATGTCAAGGCAGAACAAACACCAAGTACACTACTGGGTTCAAATCCAGCTGCCACCTAGTAGGAGTGAGAGCCCTCAGCCAAGTCACTCCCGTCCTCTGAATCTTCATTTTTTCCTGTTTCCCTGAGAATTGGTTTGAGTGTTAGAATGGTGCACTTTCTCAATCTTTAGCCACTGTTCCATTATCACAGTCACTATTGATGGTACTAATTACAATTAACTGTTTAATAATTTTTTTTTTTT